ATTTGCCATTACAAGTTTGGATAGCGTTTTTCTCCCTCCGAGCGCTGTTATGCCCTTTTATGCCCCTCGTTTTCCTATGTATAAGATTCCCGCTAAATTCCTTCGTGTATATCTTCCATCGCTATATCCCTCCCTTTTTAAATCGTGCGCCACCCGGTTATCTTCACAATTGATCCCAGCCCGAGTATGGCAACGCCAATCGGTACTAAAAAATATATCCCTTTTTTCACTCTTCCTGTTGTCTTTTTGATATTTGACATCATAACAAAGAAAATAAAATTGCAAGGAGTACAAGCAGCGCGAGATAAGTGAATTCGAATTTAACTTTATTTTAAATTCATCGCGCTTTGTCTATCTCATTTTTTTATTAGACTTGGGAGTTGGTGGTCACCTTTCATGCAGGCGGGAGACTGCTAGCAACAGTAAGTACTCAACGTTGAGGCCGCACATGGAGCCGCGGCGATCTTGGCCTAACTTAATTCTCCTTTTCTTGTTTTTTTTCCAGGCTGATGTGGTTTTAGCTATTCGCGTGGAAGCATCGATTGAAGTGACGCGGTGGGAGCATCTAATGCATGGGCTCGGAATGCCGTGGTGAGTCGTTCAAAATAAATGTATAGGTTTAGTTAGATTTTTAACAAAAAGATGTGCTGATGTGCTATGGGTTTACGTGTCTGTGGATAATAAATTAGACGATTGTTAAAAAAAAAAATAAAATAAAAATTTATTGAATGACGGGAGCTGCTCACATAACAACGCACCGACTTATCGGCTTGCAGCTGCGGCGGAATGTGGTGAAATTTGTGTGCAGTCTCAATATTGAAATATGGCCTATTTTCACTAAAAAGGTACTTGGAATTAACATCTATTAAAGGCGCCCAGCGTAGGTCACACCCACACCCTGAGATAATTATAGCTCATGTTCTACCGACTCAGCCGGGCATAAAAATAAAAAAAAACTATTGCTTTAGGTCTTTGATATGGCACGCTCCTAATGACTTGCCATGTAGTGTTTCCAGTTCAAACATGTTGTTGCCTATGGGCTTGACGATGCGAGACTTTCTGTATTTGGAAGTCGGAAAGCACATAGTTTCGTCGGTACACCTCTTGACCAGGCCTAAAGTGCACTGCGCGACTTCGTTTATTGTATCGCCGCGCGCTTTGTTCATATGCGGTGTGTAATTTACTTTTAATTTTTTCGCGCAGTAATTGCAGTTTATTTTCGCGGTTCACAATATTTGTTTCTGCGGCGCCTAACGACAACAATTTCCGCGCAAGCATATAGCCATTTCCCGACGTGAACATGTTCTGTCCGAACAACGTAAAATAGCGCGCAACGCCCGTGGCTGCGTGCCCCGAGGTGCGAAGAGCACATTCGATGTCCGATATGTAGAGGTCCCAGTCCCGGTGTTCTTCGTCTAGGTACGATCTTATCGCAGCCAATACCGACCGATTGACCCTCTCGGCGGAATTGGACTGCGGAGCATAAAACGCGGTTTTTAGGTGTTTAATTTTGTATCGACTGATCATTTTCTGAATCTCCTTCACCATAAATTGCTTGCCATTGTCAGAATGCAACGTTTCTGGCACACCGAACTTATTGAATACTTCTTGTGTTAGAAATGATACCACATTGTACGCGGTGGCCTCGTGCATAGCTTTAAAAAAAAATGCATTTTGAAAAATGATCCACGACAATGAAAATGCAGGTGTTGCCTCTTTTAGACCGCGGGTATTTGCCTAAAAAGTCGACGTATAGTTTCTGAAAGGACCTGTCTGTTATTACTTCGTTTCCTATACCTGGATTCAAGGTGTGATTAGGGGCTTTGCACTGTTGACATATCATGCAGTTTTTGATGTGATTAGCGACCTGGGAAGCCATCCTCGGCCAATAATAAAACCGACGGAGTCTATGCAGCGTTGTACCTATCCCGCCATGCGCCTTACTCTCCGGCTCGTGTGCTTCGGCTATGAGTGTCGATGTAAGCGATGATGGGATCCACAGATTCCAGGCGAATTCCTTCTCATCACTTTTGGAAAACACGGTACGTTTAAAAATATAGCCGCTTTCGAGTTTTATATCTGGTAATTTGCTTGTATTTTCTTCAATTTCTTTTTAAGTTCCCGGTATTACTCGGATTCGAACTCAGTGGTGTCAAAAGATGATACCGGGTATTCACAGGCAGTAACTTCCTCGATGCAGCGCGAAAGAGTGTCCGCCACAATGTTTTCTGTGCCTTTGCGGTGTTTGATCTTAAAGTGATAGCATTGCAATTGAAGCGACCATCGAGCCAAGCGTCCGTTTAAATCACGGAAGCGCGAAAGAGTGTCCGCCACAATGTTTTCTGTGCCTTTGCGGTGTTTGATCTTAAAGTCGTAGCATTGCAATTGAAGCGACCATCGAGCCAAGCGTCCGTTTAAATCACGGAGGGACATCAGCCACTTCAGACTCGCGTGACCGGTGACCACTGTGAAGGTCATCATTTCCACATATGGGCAAAAACGTTTAACAGCTAATACGGCAGCGAGACATTCCTTCTCAGTCACGCTGCAATTTCGTTAGCAGGTATTTAATTTTTGCGAGAAGAAGGCAATGGGATACTCCGAACCGTCTTTCTCTTTTTAAAATAAAATTGCGCCTACGCCTTGATCGGACGCATCGCACTGGATGAAAAATCGGTTGCGAAAGTCGGGATGACGCAGTACCGGCGCTGTTGTAAGCGCGTGTTTCAGCGCGTTGAAGGCATCGATTGCGGCTGGAGTCACTGCAAATTTTTGGCTCTTCTTGAGGGTATCCGTGAGCGGAGCTGACAGCGTCGCGAAATTATTAATAAAACGCCTGTACCAGCCAGCAGTACCAAGAAATTTCCGGACTTCTCGTGGGGTTTTTGGCATAAGGATTTTTCGGATGGCCTCTATTTTTGTTAGATCTGTCCTCAGCGCTCCTCCTCCAATGATAAACCCAAGGTATTTTAATTCTTTGAAACCAAAATGAGATTTTTTTAGTCCGATCGTCAAATTTGCTTCCTCGAAACAGATCGCCTCTTCTTCCAGCAGTTTTAGATGGGTTTCAAGGTCCTCCGAGATTACCAAAAGACCATCCAAATATACAAAGACGTTCTGCTTAAGTCGGTGTGACACCACTTTGTCCATTAAACGACATAGCCTTTTCGCGGCGTTACAAAGTCCAAACGGCATAACGCAAAATTGGTAAAGAGTCCGTCCCGGGACAGTAAACGCCGTGTATTGCTTGCTATCCGTGTCCGACTCGATCTGCCAGAAAGCATGTTTTAAATCTATGCTGCTTATGTAGTACGTATGTTCAATGCGACTTAGAATGCCTTCGATATTTTGCAGCGGATAGGCATCTTTCACCGTCAGCGCGTTGAGTTTCCTTGCATCCAAGCAAAATCTGTTTTTACTTGGTTTTCGGACAATAGTAGTTCGGTTATTCCAAGGACTCTCACATTCCTCTATCACTTTTAATTTCAGCATCTCATCCACTTTATAGACAAGAGCTTGAACCACCGGGGACATCGGATAGTGCCTGTCCTTGAATGGCAAGGCACCTTTCACAAGTTGGATTGTGTGTTTTTCAACGAGCGTCTGGCCAAGGCCGTGATCTTCGAAACTTTGAAACTTTTGCTTCACTGAGTCAAGCCGTTGGCATTGTTCCGGCGAAAGCTCGTGCATCGCCAGATCCCTTTCAGTGGTTTTGGTCGAGAGTTGGTGGAGTCTCTCAGCTTCCAATTCCGCCACACTGATGACGTCAGGAGCGAGCTCGAACAATTTCCAAAAATCAATACCGAAGTATGCGACTTGTTCCATGTAAGGACACATGTGGAAAGTTAATTTGCGTTCTTGATCTCTATGTTTGACGTTTACCGTAGTTTTGCCGAGTACAGCATGGCTTTGTCCAGAGGCCGTCTTCACCGTGGAAACAAAGCGTTGAATTTCGAGGTACAGATCCTCAATTAATTTCCTGCAACCTATCCCTAGGATGCTGATCAAATCACCGCGCTACACTATAGTAATGACATATTCGCTCTTCCAGGGACCTTCCCGCGATCAGTTTTTGGCTAGAATTAATTTTTGAATTAACAAACGGATTTCGTTTTAGTATCGTAATTTTATGCGCCTTTTCAGGTCTTTCATCCCAGGTGCTTGCGGACGCTGCTGCTATGTTTTCCTTACAAGGTTCTATTCTTCCGCCGGAGTTTGTTGAGGGCGTGACTCCTCCGGTCTTGTTGCGCTCCGGGCTACGTTTCCCGCTGCGCACTTCGTACATTTTGGAGTTATACATTCTGGCTTGCCACATTTAAAGCAGAATATTTTTCGCTGCAAAGACATGCAGTCCGTGAAAGAGAGCCCCTCTTGTCCACAGTTCCAGCAAGTCAGCGGCTTCTAAGGCTGCTGGACGGCACGGATTGCCGCGCGCTTTGGCTGCCAAGCTGGACTCACTTCGTCGACGATGACTTGACCCTCATCGTCGTTGACTCGGTGGTCGCTGCAGTCTAGGTAAGCAAGTTCATGCACCGGCGTGCTCGCTGTTGGTACACTCCGCCTGTCGCTGGCCGATCCCGTCTCGGAAAACTCCGCTCCGCTTCGATACATTCAACTCGCAACTGCTCTACGGTGTGAACCGTCATCGCGTACACCATTCGCGCCAAGGATTCCCGGAGGTTGCATTTGATGATTTTTACGGCCTCGTATTCCGATATGGGGCTGCGTAGACGCGATCTTAACATACCAATCGCATGGAAAAAGGCGTCGACCGATTCCCCAGGCTGCTGATGGCGTTCAGCGAGATCTCGACGTAGCTCGTAATCGTTACGATGCGAACCGAACCGACATAAGAGCGCGTGCTGCAAATTTGGCCAATCAGGTACGTGGTTCTACGTAAGTACGGTGATTTTGTCACGGTGGCCTTGGTATGTTAACCCCCATTTATCAATTTTAATATCGTATCGATACTGACTTTGATTTTGCATTCCAAGATTTCCAGGCTTTACCATTGACCGAGAACGGCCACCCGAGGACTCTTGGCTGGTATTGTGCGATTCTGCCGAGTCACGCGCAGGTGCTGTACCAGGTAAAGGATTTGAAGTTGTTTTAAGTATACCTACTAATTCCTGGAAGCCTAATCGCATTTCCTCTTGCATTTTTCTATTTAAGGATTCTTGTACCCTGTTTAGCCTATCCCTGATAATGGTATCTATTTCTGTGCGCAACGAACTGCGCTCCAGAGAAGGCTGATCAGAAGGCGACGGCCCTCCATTGTTGGTCCGCTGCGGCGTCAAGCTTAAATCGGGCGCAGTTATAGCTACGGATTCTGTTATTAATTGATCGGTACAACGAACTGGAGAAGCTACATTAGGAAAAGGTAAGGGATTTCGCAAACGATCTACTGTATCCCTCCTAATGTTTATTGTCTCCGACAGATCTTGAAACGATTCATCGACCGCCCCGGCCTTCCCTAAGTTTTTAGGTGTGCGGAACATGTTCTTTTCGCTATCGGTTTTCGATCGAGTATAATAATTATGGACCCTTCTGTTCACATCGAATGTGAGTTTACGCCTTCCCGCGCTATCCATACAGTATTTAATTTTATTAAATTTAACTTAGATTCTTACCATTAAAGGAAAGGGAAAAAATATCGAAATAGGCTATTTAAGTTATTTAGGCCTTAAGACAACTTAAGAAAAAGGTTTGTATCTTAAATCTTTTGTTTTGTTTCAACTTTGCCTGTCTGGTTAGGGGTAGGGCGGATTCCGAGTGAAGTTCATGTTTTTTTTTTTTTTGTTGGATATCGTAAAGTGTTGTTGGACGTACACCAATACTAGACTAAGTTGATGTAAGGCGGAGTTGGCGAATTCCAGTATTAACAAAAACTATTTTTATTGAGAATTGTTCGAATCAAATGCATTATGTCCGTTCAAGGTGATCATAGTACAACAAAAGCATCTCCATGGATATGTTAGGCCACTATTTGATCACCTCAGCGAAACAATAAACACAAAAATAAAATAAAAATTATATGAAAAGATATCTTTCGATCATGATTGTTGGTGCATTTGGGTTACTTTACGCGTAAGTAACCAAGCCACCGAGTGCAGAACTTACCGGAAAAGCAAAAAAAATATATACGAAAAAAAAGCACAAAAAAATAGAAAAATTAAATGATGAAATTAAACAAATTTCGGTAAATTGAACACGCCATCTTGAAGAAACTTTCATCGCCTTTAGTTCTATTGGTGCATTTGTTGTTTAACCATTTCGATTCAAACTTATAAGCCACCAGAATCTTCAGCGAAGATAAAAAAATTTAAAAAAAGCAAAATTTGTATTTTAGATATATCTTGTTTTTTTCGGATTTTACACAAGAAAGATAATAAAAAAAAATGAAAGCATAACGGAAACTACGTATCAATACGGAATTCTTTTAGGCGCGCCATTACAACGTAACACTGAAACGCGTTATTTTCTAATCGAGCGGTTTTTTAAAATTGGGCGCCATTTTGTTATGACCCATCCTCTTGTGAGCGCTATGCGTCCCTGGTCGGTTGCTTCGGCTAGCTCCAAGTTTCGGGCGTGGGTTTTCGAACCCGCCAACCAGGGCGAGGAGTAGAGGATGTCAGAACAAACTAATTTAGTGAAAATTCGCCACCTTACATAGGCTGCATAAATCCAACGTGACATTTCCATTGCAGCCCCGTAATATGTTCGTCCACCAACTCCTTACCCCACCTCCATTTCACTCACCACGTCCTCGCTGTACCCCTCCTTTACAAGATGATCTCAATACATAGTTTCGGCCATCTCAAGCAAAGATTTTATTAAAAATATTAAAACTAAACATTGGGAAGAAAACGATTAGAACTTAAATTACGAATAAAAAAAATAGATTAAAGTTAAGCTTACAAAGAAAAAATATTATTATATTTACTTATCTTTTTTTTCGGTTTATATAAGGATCCACTAATTAAAATTAATTGAAAACAAAGACAGATTATTTATATCAAATCAACACAAAACAAACTCTTAGTGCCAAATTTCACCGCTCAACAGCCCACAAAATTTTTTCATATATACATGTCCTCTTTTTTTGTTCCAGCTAGGACGGGAAGACCCGCAGATCCTACAAAAAAAAATCCTTTTTT